ATAACTGATCATCTTCAATGAGCAACCATCAATGGCTTGATTTCTAGTTGGAAGGAGGGAATCAAGTGGGATTCCCAGGGATCCAGCCTAAGTACATTATTGTTTAACATCTCCATTGCTGATATGGATGATGGAATTGAATCATGCTTAGCAAATTCATGGATGGGTGGAGTTGCAGATACTCTGGAGAGTAGGGCTAGGATTCAGAATGACCTAGATAGACTGGAGAAATGGTCCTCAATCATTCAGATGAGATATAACAAGTGCAAAGTCCCGCACTTGGGATGGAATATGTGCATACACAAATATAGACTGGGGAACGTTTGGCTGGGTTGCAGTACTGCATAGAAGAACATGGGGGTTACAGTACATCATAAACTGAATATGAGCCAACAGTGTGTTCTTCTGGTCAAAAAGGTCAACAGCCTACTGGGTTGTATTAGCATTTGCAAATTGAGGGAATTTGATTCTTCTGCTTTGTTCAGCTCTGGTGAGGCCTTATTTGAAGTACTGTGTCCAGGATGTGGGCAGATTGGAGAGAGTCCAGCAGAAAGCAGTGAAAAATTATTAGAGGCCTGGGATGCATGACTTATGAGAAAAGTCTGAAAGAACTAGGGTTATTTTGTCTAGAGAAGAGAAGACTGAGAAGAGATTTGATAACAGTCTTCAAATACCTGGAAAGTGATCTATACAGAGGATGGAGATGGGCTTTTCCTTGTAGCCATCAGAGACAGGACTAGGAGCAATGGCCTCAAACTGCAGTAGAGGAAATTTAAGTAGGAGATCAAGAAGAACTGTCTTACTGAGAGTAATCAAACATTGGAAAAGGCTACCTAGAGAAACTGTGGAATCTCCATCCCTGACAGACCCTTGGCTAGGATGGTTTAATTGGGGATCATCCTTCCTTGAACAAGGGGCTAGACTAGATGATTTCATGACACCCCTCCCAGCCCTTCTGTCCTTTGACTTTGCAGCTCCCTTCACTTTCCTCTGTTACATCCCAGATTCAACATGTCTTCCAGTGACAGCAGCAATACTGATTGGCTTTGTGATTTGTGTCTTTGAGAAGATCACCATTAAGCTGTGGTGCTGTGACATACTCAGGGATTCCTGAGAAGGAATTAAGCACTCTCAACTTACACTGGAATCAACCGGAGTTGAAGCAGAGCATTAGGCTTTTAGTAAATTTCATTTCTTTTAAATTATATGTTTGTAATCAGTTAACCTTTGTTTTGCATTGGCTTTGTTCAAACATTTAACCTAAGTGCACAGTTTGAAAGGAATGCTATTTGTATCTCTGAATTTAAAAACATCTTTAAAAGACCATTTGTTTGTTTTTAGATTGTTTAAATTATATTATCTTTCCTTTTATAAAGCATTACTGATGAATTATAGTCCAAATATACTGTTATAATATAATGTAGTTATATGATGAGAAACATTTGTATTACGAACAAAAATGCTTCGTTTTTAAAAGAATCAAATTTACGCATGTAGGCTCACTAGGGCAAGCTTGCAGTGAAGTGCTGATAAATGTTAATATCAGTGTTGCATAATAATATGATGTCTAATACATGTGAAAGACAGACCTTAATGAAGTCAGTTCTGTTGAGAATGCTTGCTTGCTTTTTGAGAAATTATGCCTCCTACAGTGTTCAAGAAACATTCTTGCCCATGCTGTATCTTTTTAATTAACATTTCCCCTCCTTAATTGATTTTTTTTAAGAAGAGCAGAACATGTATTTAAAGTCAGATCTTATTCTTTAATTTTGTTCAAAATCATAAGCCAGACTTTTCTTCATTATACCTAATACCCTTTGTCCACCAGTCACATAGGTAAATAAACCAAGTACCAAACAGAGCAATTAGCTTCCTTCACAATAGATTTCCACTGCCCCCAGTAACCTTTATGAATGCTGATGGCAGTTTGGTGTGTGTGCATGTCAAGGGGATAATATACCCATATTCATTTTTTTTTAAATTAATATTATTTATATAGTACAAATAGAAAAGTTTCCAATGCATCTTTGTTTAACTGTTCATACAGGCCAGTGGAATCAGATGCGACATGTCAGTTCTTAATGCATATGGACGCATACTTTTGGAGTTGTTTCCAAAAGTTCTCAGCCTGTCTTATATTTTAGGAGTTGTATGTGGGCAAGATGGGAATGATACAAATGTAGCAAAACTACTCTGACTTTAATAGGGCTGTGCAGAAGCTTCGGTCCCTGATTCGATTCAGTGGAGATTCGGCCCGATTCAGTGGCTGAATCTCTGAATTTGAATTGAATCAGAGGACCCTTTAATCTTCTGAATTGAATTGGAACCCTCCTAATTGAATTGGAAAGATTTGGAGATTCAGACATAGACACATCTTTAAATGTTTTTGTACATACCTCTAGGTAGCAGGGGCTTGTGAATGCTGTGATGCTGGGGTACATGGAGCGTCCCACAGCAGCATGGGGGGCTCCTCAGTGCACTCAGCAGCAGACACTGAAGTGGACCAGAAGCATTTCTGGTCCACTTCCAGGTTTGCCAGGAAGCATACAGAGGGCTCCCATGCCCCTCCAGCTCCGCAGCTGGTGCCTCCTGAGTCTGGGGGGGCACTCGGGGTCTCCTCATGGCCGATACCCAAGCCAGGGAGTGCAGGGGAGCCCCCCAGCATGTTCCCTGGTGGACTCGGAAGTGGACAGAAAGTACTTCCAGTCCGCTTCCCGGTTCACCTCTAAGCATGTGGAGGGCCCCCCCACCACACTCCTGTAGGACACTCAATCCATCTCAGCATTGCAGCGATCACAAGCTGCGCCTGCTACCTCAATGTATGTAGAAAAAACTTTTAAAGCTGAGTCTATGACTGAATTGCTGGTTTTTCCAAATCAGCATCAAATCTTCAGATTTGGCTGAATCATATTGGGGACACTGATCCGAATGAGCGAATTGAATCACTGTCCCCGATTTCAGGATGAATCCAAATCCGAATAGAATAAGGCCTGTTTTGCACACTCCTAAATTTTAACCCTGGCAGTAGATTTAAAGTGGAGCTGTTTTGCTACATATATATCATTCCCAATATGTTCGCGCACAACTTTTAGAACAAAACAGCTGCCACACAGTTTGGAGCAACTGTCACGCACTCCTCATTTGAAATAGCTCCAAATGTATGTATGTTCATATCCGGAATTGCCACTGTTAATTATAATTTTCCTGATTGACTTAGTTAAATTGTCCAAGGCGCACATGTTTTGAACCGCTGCATTAGATAGCTAAGGCTTTGGACATTTACTTATGGTAGATCTAATTAGAAATGGACTTGATCTTGAATACACTGAGCACATTGAGTGTCCTGCCACCTATAAAATGCAAGCACTTGTTATTGGCCATTTCAATAAATTAATTACTACCAGAATATGGGGTCTGTCACCAGCTTGCATCTACCTCAGGTTGGTACTAAGTGGAAGTCATTACTGTTTTGGTGATCTCTGTCCAGATTTTATTAGAAGGGTGTTCTTGAAATATTAGGGTACAATTACAACAGGCAACCTTGTCAGGATGCTCTGCAGAGCAGCCAGGGATTAAATGAGCACAGAGACTAGACAGATCTTGCTTGCCTAGGGCTTGAGAGTGAGCAACAGGAAGGAAAGATCTCTTTTCTCTGATATATTAATTTGGGGTCAGATGGTTTTTACTTTATTGAGCAAAGGAGAAAAAGTGTCAGTGCCTATGTAAGGGTGGGGAAGAGGCAATTCTGTGGTATGCCTACCTCCTCAAGGCTTTGGGGTAGTATGGGAGCAAGGTGGTGGTAGTTATGGCTGTAACATGGAATCATTTGTCTCCTCAGCTCTATCAGGATACCTTTGTGTAAATTTTGACCTCCTTAACATTAACTTCTGCTCCTTCTCTAATCCCTCAGTGACATTTATAATGCTACCCCCTCCCCTGAGATTTGTGGGGCACTGACCTGCATGCTAAACTCATGGGAGGATGATTCCTTCAAGAGCTTGCTGCCATGGAATTTGGTTGACTGGGGGGGAAATGAAGAGGTTCAGGTCTTTCACCCAGTGGGCCCTAGCCCCCTGGGAGAGCCTGCAGAATCTCTCCAGATCTTAAGGGAACACTGTAGTTTGACTTGGTGCTGAAGTAAAGCAAGTATTACTCCCACACAGACGGTCAGAAAAAAACTGTAGGCCTGCTCCTACTTTGTTTTGAAGTCAAAGTCAAAACTATTAACTTTGGTGGTGTAGGATCCAGCCTTATGGAGAAATAGCCCTAGCAAGGATTGGCTTAGAGCAGTGGTGTTCAAACGGTGTCCTGCAGAACCCTGGGATTGTCCGGCAGGTCACCAGGGTTCCACAAAGTGATTGGGGTAATAGTGGAGCAGGCTGGGAGCCGGTGCTCTGCCACTGCCGTGCTGATTTGCCTGGCCTCTTGGCCTGCAGAACAGAGAGTAGGGGTTCTGCTGCAGAAGAAGTGATATGAAATGGCTCTGTGACTTTCTGAAGTTTGAAAACCACTGGTTTAGAGCATATCATGAAAGCCGTTTGACTAGGCTGTATGGTTTCCTTTAAAAGACAGTCTGGTTTGTGGTCTTTACTGCTGATTTCACAAAAATAGCATATCCTAACTTAGGAAAAGGCTGTTGTTTTGCAAGTTGCTTCTAAAAGAAAGCGTTACATATATAAACCTACTCCCACCCACATATGCAACAAAGTTAGAAAAATATAAATTAAGGAAAATAAAATGAAAGAAATTTCTGCATACTAGTGGGAGACTGTTAATTCTCCTTTCAGTATTTCTTGGTTATTTCCCTAATTTATGGAAAAGTAGGTGATGATTTTATGATGTAAATGTACCAGTCATTGCCATAATTCATTTTTGAGGAGCGGAATTCTATTTTAAGAATTCTAAATTTTATTTTTCAGTAAAAAAAAAACTAACCAGTTGCTTTGTCTTCAACTAGTGGTCTTCTGTGTAATCAAGTTCCTTTCTTCTCATTCCTCAAGAGCTTCCCCCACATGAACACGAGAAGAGTTGCTAGTTAAAAGAAAAGTGAGCAGCGCAAAGCACAGTATGGCCACCATGAAGAGGAATGGACTCATTGCACTACTGGTTGCAGGCCTGGGAGTCTTGGAGATCCTGGAGTTGACAGCAACAGAAGATTCCCTGTGCCAGCGTACTGAACACCCAGTTATCACTTATAAAGGTAAGGAGAAACCAGGAGCATTTCCTCTCCTCTTCCAAACATTTCCCCCTACCTCACCCCACTCTGAAAAAAGGACAAAATAGCGCTCAGTTCCTTCACCTTGGGAAACTTCTGTTTTATACTGTACATTGGCAGCAAGTAAAAATGAATTTCGTTCACTTGGTTGCCTACAGACAGTTGTCCAGATTGCAGGAATCTCTGCACAGCTTGACTGACTGCGTGACTAGCGATTTTGGCTCTAGGAGAGTCCCAGGCCTGGAACAGCAGAGATATCAAAGGTCAGGATTAAAGTGCTTTGGCAGAGCACCTTGGCAGTCCTGGCACAGATGTTGTCTACTTTTGCTATCCTACACTCCCTAGCTGGTGTGGTTGGTCCTTCCTTTTCATATGCTCTGAAATTACTTAAAAATTTTCTTAAAAAGAAAAAATAATACTAAAAAGCTTTTCATTGCTTCTCAGCAGCTGAGTGATGCCACAATCCCTTAACTGCGAAAAGGGTATGACAGTTCTCAGCAGCAGGTAAACACTGTGCTGCAGTCATTTTGGTTTCTTTCAAGCACGGTTTTTGAAATCTGTCATGTAGTGGAACAGGTGTTTCTGCCAACCTGGTTGGAAGAACTGAAAAGACATGACTTTAAATTAGAGAGACAAGCAGGGAGCAGAAAGTAAGTGAACTGTGTTTCAGAGCAGGCTAATAGCAATGAGTTTACAAACTTTGCTCATAACTGTGTCCTGGGGTGTCAACCAGAGGATACTCAGAGCATCTGATCTCAGGATTAGGTCTTTTGTTTACATGTGTAATTAGTGGACACAACACGTGCTGTACAGAACTTCACTGTTTGGCTATCACTGAAATCATTTGGACGGTGAGAGTGACAGCTGGATAAATCAGAATATATATTAACCAGGTCTGTTTTGCCTTTCCTTCCTGCTGTGCAGTAGACTCTGGCTTCACTGTCCTTTCAACACAGAAATAATATTTACCACTACAGAGTCCCATTCAGCACAGTTCTTAGTGTTCAATATAATCTAATGGCTTGAGCCTTTGACTTGCTTGCAAAGTTGTTTCCTTGACTACTTACTCTCTCAACTCCCATACCTCTTGGGTAATTGCTGCTAAAATCCCTTGTGCACTAGACGCACCATCACTGCTGCCTTTTTTGTAATGCCGAATAAAATGTCTGTGCTGATATTAAAAAAAAAAAAAAAAAAAAAAAAAAAAAAAAAAAAAAAAAAATTGCAGCCTTCTAGGACAACCGGTTTTACAATTAGTTTATTGATTCTCATGACCACCTGAATTTAATTTAAAATGTTTATTTTCTAGTTATGCTAATAATACTATTCTATTTTGTATTGTCTATTGATTCAAAGTTTGACCACTAGGTTAGTAATTTAAAGAGAGTCCCAAATGGTTTGTACATAAGAGGATATTGGGAACAGGTTCCTAAAAAGTATTGTACTTCATATTCATTACATTATTCTCAACTAGCCTAGAAACTTTTCTATTTATTTAGTAAAAGGCCTATTTAGGTCTACTTTTGCTTCACTAAATTGGGATCTATAATTCTGTTTGGGGAAAAAAAACTGTATATGTTTTAGCCAGATTATTGGAAAGCTTGGAGCAGTGAATCTTGGTCTGTTGAATGAGGAGTGGTTCTATTTCAGGATTTATTGATGTATAATTGTGATAACTACCCTCTTGGCTGGAGCTGGTGGGGAATTGAACTTGGGACATGCTAAGCATGAGCTAAACACCAAGATCAGGAAGCAGTGGTCTGGACCCACTCACATCTTGTGTAGAATAGGTCTGGGGCTCATGAGTATACTCACTGACATATAGCATATCAATGATCTATTTTCATAAATAAATGATGATTTTTCCCAAATTGTTGCACATTATTTTTAACATCTGTGCAATGCATATATTTAAGAGTAGTGTAAAAGAATTGCTTTTGAGGTATTATTTCAATATCTAATTATAATTTTGTTCAGTGGTGCTATCAGATAAGTAAGGCAGTGCTCCATGGGAGTGTCATAGGCATCTGGATTTGTGGGGAGGGGTCAGAGTTCAGGAGCTGAGTGTTTACAATACTAGAAGTCCAGAAGCTGTAGTGGAGGGTCATTGTATTTGGTATCACTTCGAGTCTAAGATATCCCATTGTGGGTTGAGAAGGGTCCATGTTCGAGGCCAAACAAGAGTTCAGGAGCTAGGGAATCTAAAGCAGACAGTGGGATAGGTGGGAGCAAGGTACTGGAGCCCAAGGCAGGGGTGAGGCAAGAGCAAGGCTAAAGCAAGGCTGGAGCAAGGCAGGAACAAGGTAAGAGTGTCCTAAATAACCAGGCCACTAATACTGTTGCCAAGACAAAGCCCTAGGCAAGTGAGTGGGTTTTATAGCCTGCCCCACAAAGGCTTATGCCTTGCATTGGTTCCCCTGGGTCACATGGTCAACCAGGGGGAACCCCATAGGAGGACCCAGGCTAGGCTGGGTCCAGAACTCATTCTGTTGCTTGTTGGCACTGCAGCTAGACTTCTGGTCACAAGCCCAGGAGACATGCATTTTGAGCATCAGGGGTCCTGATGGGGAATATCAGAATCCACCTATATGGTAACTGGACTAGGTAGTGCCACTTGTCACTGAGATTGTCTATTTGCCTTAATAGCATATAGGGTTAGCCTTCCCTCTCTCAGCGGCCACTTCTCTCCGTGGATTCTGTGGATGGTTGATACTTGTCGAACAGTGCTCTCCTCTAATGTTAAAGGGTTCTGAGGAGAGCCAGGAACCTTTTCTTCCAGTGCTACTGTCTCTATTGATCTGGCAAAATATAGTGCCTTGCAATATCAACTTGAAAGGATTCAAAATCTGTGTTTGTTCTGTATGGAACATAGCAAAACTTTTCAGATGCCTTCAGGAGACGGAACTCACTCTAACATCTGCTTTCAGATTGATAGTCTAAGATTCAGGTCTTCTTTTTGCTTCCCAACAAAGATTCTGTTGAAACTGAAATGTCTTCACACAGTGCTTTGGGTTTGATGAAATGGCATATCTTGGCAAAATTTCATTTAGTCAAAATGTTCTGACTGTTTGAAGTGTTGTGTAATAAATACTATGATCTTTTAGAACCCCACTGGGAGCTTATGCCCAGTACATGCTAGGGAAACAGGGCCACATCTTATTCCACTATTCTATTTATTTGGCATGTAAATGGACTGAGACACTTAAGTGCAATTTTGCTCCATCTTGCTTGGGTTCCTAAAAAAATTTAATTAAAAAGGTAAGATGGTTCTCCTTCTCTTTACTTTTTTTTTTGTGACTCATTTTGTAAGGGGTGGATGACAGTGGGTGCATCTATACATGCTATTAAGGTGATCCAATGAACTCTGGAGCAGTTCACACTGAAGTTAACTCCTTCTGGTGCACCGTTTACATATGTGCCCAGCACTGCATCAATTAGAGCCAGGGCAGAGCAGGGGGCACTGCGAGTCAGCCCTGGGCTCTGGGTGGCAGTGTTGGGTGGCAGAGGGGCTGGCAGAAGCTGGGGGCCTGGCCCCCTGTTGGCTGAGCAAACCAGGCACAATTTGCACCTAGTGATCACCATCCACACAAGTGTTTGACTGCAGTTAATTACCCCACCATAAGGGCGTAGGAGTTAGTTAATTTACTGCGCCCTAACACCCGTTCACATATAGATGGTGAGGCTTTACTGCAGAGCTAATTAGCCAATTCCACAGTAAAGTGCATGTGTAGATGGACCTAGCATGTTGCAAAAACAGATGCTTTACTGGATTTCCATAGACTTGAACAGAGTTGAATAGATTCATGCTGGGCTGATGCATAGATGCCTAGTAAGAGGAATAGAATCTGGCCCCTAGACTATTGGGCCAGGGACAGACATTCAAGAATCTTGAGCCTGAATTGATTCAATCTTTGCAAGTTAGTCTAACCTGGCTAGGCTGAACTGGTTTGAAACCGGACAAACATTTTCTCTGGACTGAGGAAATTCAGGCATGTGCCTGCAGTGGCTCAAGCTAGAAGCTGGGGAACGCTAGAGAAGCCCTCTCTTCCCTTGCACAAAGCTGAACTGAGAGGGGTGTAGCCAGGCCCAGGCAGGACTCTCATTAGGGGGATCTGCCTGCATGGTCCCAGGCTTTTCTTATCTGGCTGCTCAAGGGGCGTGAGTGTTGCCAGCCCACTGCTAGCACTGTGAGGCAAAGGGAGCTATGCAGTGCATGCATCTGTTGATGATGCAGAGCTTTTCAATTTCCTTCCCTGCTTTGTCATACTGTCTGTAGCAAACTAACAGGGGAGCAAGGTAACTGGGGGCTGGTGACAGTCTTTATTACCCAATTAGCAAAACAATGGCCTCTCTCCATTATTTCAAACTTCTTAAACAGCTTACTGGCTGACCTGTTGATTAGCTCCAAGCCCTAAGCAGTCACTGTTTTGTCTGCCTGCCCCAGTGAAATTGGACACACACACAAACACATGTAACTCTTGGCATTAGCTAGCATACCACATGCCTGGGGTCCATGCTGTGGGAGATGGGAGAGAGGGAGGGGGGATTTCTTAATAGAGCAGCAAGAGGTGGGTAGGGCAGCCAGGCAGATCCTGCTGTGTCTGCAGTCTCTGCCAGAGCCTTACACAGCATTACCTGGCATACCACACGCTGGCTACGGTTCGTGCTGTGGAAGAGAGGAGAAAGGGATCCCTGCTTAAGCAGCGAGTGGTGAGGGGGCAGGGGGAGGGGGGCATAGGGAAGCCAGCAGACCCTGCTGTGAGCTGCAGCCAGAGAGCAGAAGGGAGGGGCCAGCCCTGCTGTGGAGCAGGGAGCCCTGCCCAGCCCAGAGAGCATGCTGGGGGTTGTCTGATTCATTTTAAACCAGCCAGGAGTCTGGGACAGACATTGCATAAAACGGTTTGATCAAATCAGTGAAGTCTGATACTACATTCAACCAGGTTCATCTCAAACTGGTTTCAGCCATTTTCAATCTAGTTTATGTA